TTGTTTTATATTTGTATGGAAGAAAATTATAGACATCACAGGCTAGATGTGATTTATCTTTTTGTCTTCCACAGTATTATCCTTTGGTCAGTGCATTATTGGGCTTTGGAACTGAGACATGAATCTTTAACTCATTAAAACCCCCAAGTCCCCAATAATAAAGTTGTTTAAGTGGCTTTACCAGTAAATTTATTTCAAAATGGTTCCATTTGGAAGCAGGAAAGAACAATGCATTACATACAAGACCTAGTCAATAATTCATGAGACCTGCACACCAGTCACCATTGCTGATTCAGTGCCTGGTGTTATAGCTAAAGTGAACTCTGTCTTAGAGGATGTTCACAATTTTTCTTCTCTGTGTTTGTGTTCAAGAGTATTCTTGATTTTTGAGCTATAAACTTTGTATCTATTTGGTATGTTTAATTGGACAATTGAACAAAGTAAGACATTTTATATAATAGGATTAAAAGGACATTGTATATGTGTTCCCTACCTTTAGCAAAGTAGAAAGGTTTCAAAAATATATTACTCTCACTTTGGACAAGAATTTTGTTTCTGTGAGTGGAATGGATTGCCAAAGGCTGGATTAAGATTTATTGATGCCTAACAGTTACAGCAGAGTGTTCAGCAGTCAAAGAATATGGAGAGGCTTGCATGGGAAATGGCCTGTAGCTGGCCAGTGAGTCCTGGCCAGTGGCCATCGCTCTTCAGCTGTGAACTGAGTTCATCCAAACTCCTTCCAGTATGTTGTCTTTTCTGAAAACTATAGAGGTGCCGGGGTTAGTTCTTTTCAAGGTGAAATTAGAAGAGAGTAGTAGCCTGCTTCCCTTCTTCACTCACACACACCGATATGTGTGTGGGTGTGGGTGTGGGTATGTTGGCATTACTCAGTGTAATGAAAGGGAAAGATAGGGAACTGACATGATTCAGATTTCCAAATAAGATCATTGCCATTTGGTGAATATTTATTCAGTGATAAATGTTGTGTGGGAAATAAAAATGAATGAATGGTGGTTTTGTTGTTTGCCAGAAAAACTTCAGGATTCATCCTTTCTGCCATCCCTTCTTCTTCCTCTGCCCTTCCCCAATAGAAGTGTCAGCTTTTTCTTAAATTTAAAAAACATTTTATTTAAAAATCATAAATAGTAATACTGTATAGACATGTAAGTTGAATAAACTCCTGGAAATCCCACCATAAGCATTTTGAGAAACATCATACAGGCACACACCCAATAGAATTTTACCTTAAATTCTATTTGGCTATATACATATGTTGCCTTGTGACTTTTTATTTAACAATATATCAAGAATATCTTCACTATAAATAAAAATCCTCACCGTCATTTTTGTGGTTATGGAATCTTCTATTATATACATATATCATTAAAAAATTCTCTATGGTGAACCTGTAAGTTGTTTTCAAGCCCATTTGCTCCCATATACAACATGGGGGAGGGTGAGTATCTTTGTGTGATGATCACTTCAGTATGTGTTGGTGAGAGCGGAATTGTGGGGTCAAATGGTATACACATTTCAACTTTTGCTAGGACTGTCCATTAGTGACTTGGAAAAGACTTTTTTTTTTTTAAAGATGTATTTATTTATTCATACATAACTGAAGTACAAGCCAAGAGATGCAGGGACGATGAGAGGCTTCACCACAGACAGAGTAAGGAGCAGAACAGGCAGATCCACAAATTACACTGCTGAGGGGAGCAGCAGGCGGTAAAGAGAGGTCTGCCTGCCATGTGGATCACCTGGGGGTGGGGGCTGGGGATTGAACTCTTGCTGAAGTGGCTGCGGCCAGCCTAACCAGTCCTAACTCATTGTGCCACCAGGGAGGGCCAGAGAGGGCCCTGAAAGAAGGACTTTTTTTTTTTTTTTTAAATAAATAAAGATTGGCCCTCCCTGGTGGCGCAGCGTGTTAAAGCACAGCACTAAGAAGCTTAAGCCAGTTCCGCATGAGTTCGATTCCCGCCTTCCCCAGAGGAGATCCACATGGCGTGGCAGACCTCTCCTG